TTTTGCACATAATGCATTCCTGGAAAAGTATGAAGGTGATTTCGCAAAACTCAAACAATAGAAATCTGTGCTGTAAGGACATTCCATTCACTGAGGGCTACACAAATTATAAAATCCCACATTACTTCTCACCTCTTAGGCATCATTATCAAAGATATATTTCAAGGTTTTCGTGCATATTATTTTAAAAAATAAATTGGATTTATCTTACTGGACTCTTTTTTTTCTGATTACAAAAGTGACAGATGCTTGCTGCAAAGGAAATTCAATTGTTAGAGAAATATGCAATATGGAAAATTAAGGTGGTGTGGATGTCCACATGCAGAAATGCACACAAGCGTTCTGATTACAAAAGTGACAGATGCTTGCTGCAAAGGAAATTCAATTGTTAGAGAAATATGCGATATGGAAAATTAAGGTGGTGTGGATGTCCACATGCAGAAATGCACACAAGCAGTTTAGTTATATCTCCAGACTTTCTCATGTACATACCAGCATATGTTTTATATACATGTATATGCATATGAGGGGTCTTCAAAAAGTTCATGGAAGAATTCACATTATCTTTAACTCAACTTTTTCCATGAATTTTTGAAGACCCCTCATATGTATACAATGTACATATATATATATACCAACATAAATAATTCATCATTTTTTCAACAACAAAAAAGATCATATGAATTATTTGGAAGTTTGCCTTTTTATTGGCTTAACTCTATGTCTGGCCATCTCCTTATATTGGCAGAAAGAAATCTAGCTCATTCTTTTGAAGAACTGTATAATAATATCCCATTGCATGGACATCCCTAATTTATGTGCACAGTCCCCTTTAGATGGACACTTCTCGATTTTAGCAACAAGGTCACAATGAATACCTTTTACATGCAACTTTGTGTTCATGGCTAAGTAGTTCTGGGAGTGAGACTGTTGGGTCATGGGGTCGGCATGTGTTTTAAGGGTCCCCAGGATTTGTTTTAATCAGGTGTGGTAAGACATGCAGATGTGGAAATGACTGTCATGAAGGGAAAAGTTTATACTCACAGATCCCTAGAAACAGGAGGCACAGTATGCCAACAGGGATATACAAAGCCACATGGGGGAGCACCAGGGTGGGCCAGGAGGCAGAGGGAGTGAGGGGGAGACATAGGCAGGAGCCTTTATTGTGGTTTCCATGGGAAGGAAAAGGTGAGGCAGGGTCAGCAGGGTTAGGATTGGCTAGTTTGAATTATTTCAGCAGGCTCTAGGGCATAGGGGCTGTCCCTAGTTGTCAGGTACCTAGCCCTGGGGTGATCAGGGCAAGTGGATAGGTGGCCCTGAGTGTGAGAGCCCGATAGAGGAGGTGGAGGAAGTGTGAGTTTGGTTTCCATTTGAAAGGCATGCTCAGGGGAAAGTTGTTTATTATCTCGGAACTGGCCAGTCCTGGGAGGGGCAGTCTCCCCAGGGTCAGCAAGGCCCCAGATGTCAAAGCATCAGAAGACAGAAAAAGAAAGATGTGGTTACAGCCACTTAATATCTTAGTAGCAGATTTCACCATGTTGCTATGCCTGAAGGTTTGGGCAAAGAATGCTCTTCCCAGTGGTTTGGCAGATTTCTCATTTCCCTATACCTTCTCCAACTCTAGGCATTCCCAGTATTTTTTATTTGGTTACACTGGAGGGGATACTGACTAGATTGTGAAAAGCACACATATGTTCCAATTATGTCCATTTCGATCACAATTAAACACAGAGCCACCCAGCTTAAGCCTCAAAGGGTCCAGCCCAAGGTCAAGATGTGCTGCTTTTGGCTGGTCCACTCACAACGTGGTCTTCACCTCTCTCCACTCATCCCCCTGCTCAATAAGCCCCAGCCATTCTGGCCTCTCGCTTTCTGCTATGGGCCAAGCCCTTTCCCACCTCAGGATTTTTTGCACAAGCTGCTTCCTTTCCCCAGCACCTCTTCACCTTGGAGACTGCTATTCACCTTTCAGAGTGACCTTGAGGAAGTTCTTGAACCAGTTTTCCCTTTTTTAATAATATTACCCTCTTCATCAGGTTGCTGTGAGAATTAAATGAGATACATAGTTTAAAGCCCTTGAGGACTAAATGACACATAGTTTAAAGCACTTGAGGATTAAATGACACATAGTTTAAAGCACTTGAGGATTAAATGAGATACATAGTTTAAAGCACTTGGCACAGTGTTTCAGAAAGTGTTATGATTTCAGCTCAAGGGGTGCCTCCTCCAGGAAGCCCTCCCTGACCACCCTGCCCAGGTCAGGTTCCCATGTGTTAGCCCTCCTCATGGATCCCCCAATAACTTTTTTGGGGGGTATATTTCAAAAATATAATTAAACAATTACTTGTGGTATCATCTGCTTCCTGTTTCTCTTTCCCATTAAGACTATGAGTTCTAGAAGGGCAGAAATGGTGTTTGCCACATAGGAAGTGCCTAGCACCATGCCTGCCACATAGGAAGCATTTGATGCATCTGATAGATGAATGAATGGATGGATCTAACGAATTCCATCTCTGACTCAATTATACTAAATTGTCAGAGGCTACCCTTCTTATCACTGTTTTCAGCATGTGAATTTTCTCCTTTTGCATGTCTTTTTATAAAAATAAAGGATAGAACACAGTAATGTTCATGCCACTGCATAAACAAACCTTATCAGCCTGGGCCAAGATAGTCACGAAACTCAAACAGAACTCCTGACAGGTAGGTGGTGTCCCCATGTGATTGCTGGGAATATTTGCCATTCTGTTCATCTACAAATGTAAATATTCAATACTCTGGTTATGTCTCCTGTCTGTCCTTCAAAACTTTCATCCATCTTTCCATGGTCCTGTGCCCTAAAAAGAGGCTGATTGCATCAATGGGCATCCTTGCCCTCCTTCCTTCTGGGCTCAGCAATGAGAGCCTCCAGCAGGAGATGGGTGGGCAGGAGGGGACAGAGGATGGGGTCTTTATTCCCCTCTTCTTGAATGTGGGCTGGTTCTAATGGCTCGCTTTAAATTTACAGAACATAGGCTGGCCAGTTAGCTCACTTGGTTAGAGCATGATGTTAGTAACACCAATGTCAAGGGTTTGGATCCCCATAGCGACCAGCCACCAACAAATAAATAAGTAAATGTACAGAACATAGAGGAAGTGATGCCATGTGACTTCTGAGGTTAGATCATGAAAAGATACAAAGGTACAAGCTCCACCAGGCTTCACCCTCTGGGGTCACTTGCTCTGGGGAGCCCAGCTGCCATGTTGAAAGCCCCAAGAAACTTGCTGTTGCCTCTGCCTGGAACTCTCTTCCCCCAAGTATCCATGTGGCTCCTCCTCTCACTTCTTTCAGGTCTCCCCTTAGATGTCATTTCCTGCAGCCTTTGCTAATCCCCCTTTACCCATTCCCCTACCCCAGCTCATTTTTCATCTCATAGCACTTACCATATCCTGTCCTATTATAGATTTGTTTCTTGTCTGTCTCCCCCACTAGAATGCCAGCTCCATGAGGGCAGGGATCTTGGTTTTGTTCGCTGCTGTGTCTGCAATGCTTGGAACAGTGTGTGGCACAGAGTAGGTGCTCATCATGGTGTCTATTGGGATTAGAACCTAGCAGACCTGATTTGTGTCGAGGCTGGATCAGACTCCCACCTGTTTCCTGCCCATTCGGTGCCCACCCTGGCTAGGGGATGGGACATAGCTGTGACCTCCCCTTCCATTGGGCAAACTGATTAGTAATTGGCAACTACGATGGGAGAGCCCCTCCCGACCTCCCCACTTCCGTCAAGATAAAAATCCCAGCTCCTGTGTGCAGGCTACAGTCCCCTGGCCCTGCCTGAAATTCCACCACTTAGCCACAAGGAACCATGAACTGCTTGCAAGTCACTGACATAGTCTTTAGAGTGCGGTGCATATGTACCCAACAAACAAAGCTTAGGGTTCAACTGGAAAACCTCAGAACATCTATATTTTTTAATCTCCATTTTCCACTTTCTAAAGAATATATCTTTATATAATAGGAATTATATAATATAACATATAATAGTCTACAGACTGGTATAATTGTATTTGTATATAATGTATAAATAAATATCCATCTGGGGTGGAGCTTCAACATTTTTACTGACAGCAGTGAGCAATGGAAAAAAATCTGTACAGTCGTTTACCCCAGTGCCACTTTGCCCCACAGGGGACATTTGGCAATGTCGGGAGACATGTTTGGTTGCCACAACTGGGAGAGGGGTGCCACTAGCATCTAGCAGGTGGAGGCCAGGGATGCTGGGCTACAATGAACAGGACAGCCCGCCACCACAAAGAACTATTCACCCCCAGATGTCAAAAGTGCCCAGGTTGAGAAAACCTGCCCCAAAGCACTGGACTCTCTCTTGCCTGTAAAGCCATCTCTGATGTCCCCAGGATGGGCCAGAGCTCCACCTGAGTCACCCCAGCCCCTGCGCTGGGTTGAAATTGTCCTGTCCCACGGGGTTCTCAATCTTCGGGTTTGCAATGCAGATTCCCTGGAGACCCTAGACAGCCGGATTGTGCCGGGCTGCTAGCGCCCAGGAATCTGTATTTCTCACGAGCACCTCGCCCTCTTCCACCCATACACTGCCTGTCCCTGCTATGGGGACGTAGTACATAAGACCCGGTGACAACTTAGTTGAGTGTCTATGGCATGCCAGACGCTATTAAGTTCTCTCCTGGAGCATCCCGGGCACGCTCTCTCTGCTCCAGGATGCAGGCACTGTGATCGTCCCCATTTTACAAAGGAGTAAACTGAGGCTCAGAGAGGTGACGGTGGCCGAGTGAAAGACTCAGAGCGAGAAAAGGGGCCTGGGTCCTAAGAAGCGCCTGGTCCTGGGGTAGGGAGGAGGACGCGGAAGAAGGTGACGAACTGGGGGAGCGCGCGCTGGTGGAGGGGGGGACGCGGGGACTCGCCGCGGCCTTCGGATGCGGCCCCGCCCCCACGAGGGACGTGAAGACGCGGACCCCGCGCAGCGTGGGGACATGTGACCGACTGCAGAGGCCGCGCCGCCTCCCCCGCCCGAGGTCTGCGCGCTCCGCCGCAGGGTGCAGACCCCGGGCGCCCGCCTGGGTTTGGGGCGCAGGAGCAGAGGCGGAGCCGGGGCGGAGCCAGCGCTCCCCGGTCCCCCCCGAATCGAAAGCGAAAGGGGCCGGGGAGGAAGGGCGGAGCTGGCCGCCAGGCGCCGCCCCCTGCCCTGCGCGGCTGCTGGACCGACGGGCGCGCCCAGGTAGGGGGCGGCTGAGCCGCGCAGTGCGGACCCCCGCGGGGACCTGCGTCGCCACCGCCGTCACCATGTCTCAGGAAGGTGTGGAGGTAGGAGATGGCTCCGGCCGGGCCGGGGGGCCGCGACAGACGCCGAGGAAGGGCTGGGGGCGCGCAGGCGGCTTCGCAGTTCCTGGGGACCCCATCGGAAGCCCAGACCTTCCGCCTGGCTGGCGCTCGCCTCCCTGAGAGAGGAGACTGACTCCCACATCCCCCAGAGCGAAATGCGGCCTCCCCGAGGAAAAGCGGGGGCTGCGGGGTCAAGGGTTAGAGGCCAGGGATTACCTGGCCAGCCTCATGACCCCGTAGGCTGGGACGCTCGTCCCAGTCCGCGTCCTCCCCCAGTGCCCTGTGGGGACTTTGGCTTTTTCCAGGAAATGCCGTAGAGGGATGGGGCGGGGGCGGGGGGAGGGTTGCGGAGGCCAAAACCAAGGGTCAAGTTCAGGCCGGTAGAAGGATGCCTAGAGATGGGGGAGGGGCGATCGCTCCTCTCCTTCCCCCCACTGGAGCCCCCTGTCCCCAACCAGCTGGAGAAGAGCATCCGGCGCCTCCGGGAGAAGTTTCATGGGAAGGTGTCCTCCAAGAAGGCGGGGGCTCTGATGAGGAAATTCGACAGCGACCACACCGGAGTGGGTCGCTCCATCGTGTACGGTAAGCTGGTGGTCCCGGTGCGGTGCGGGACAGGATTGAGATCATCCGCCCTGGAGGTCCCAGCCTTGGGAGGGTCTGCGTTGCTGCTCTGCGCGGCCTGGAACCCCACAGACTCTTCAAGGGCCCTTCATTTACACTTACTCTCCCACCAGGAGTAAAGCAGAGAGATGGACAGGAACTGAGTAACGACCTGGATGCCCAGGTAACCTGTCCCCTCTCCTCAAAAGACTGGGTAACAGAAGGAAGAGCAGAGGGGACCCGAGCCATCCATGGTGACCCCCTCCGGATGAGGAGCGACTGGGCACTGTCGGTCAACACATCCAACCCCATTCACTTTTCCACCTCTCAATTGTGCGTTTGGCCAGGGAGCAAACAGTAGGCGCTCATTACGTGCTGACTGTGTTAAATGTGGGAAAGAGCCAAGAAACCAGGCAGTGAAATGAACCAGGATTAATGCCACCGTAGGGGAGGCCTAGAGGTCAGGGAAGGCTTCCTGGAGGAGGTGATGCCGACACTTCAAGCATGGGGAGGAGTGAGCCCTGGGAAGGAAAGAGGAGGTGAATGGATGATAGGGGTCGTCCAGGGAAAGGGAATGGTGTGAGCAAAGGTGAGAAGGGACCTGTCAGTGGCAGCTCCTGGCACAGGAGGAAAGGCTGGGATGAGCAGGAGGTGTGGGAGGAGAGAAAGGGAGGCCAGCCCATGTGTTGAATGAATGAATGAATGAATGAAGGCTTTGAAGCACAGGCGAACCACTTTGCCACTTAGCTTTGGTGGCTAGTAGACTGGATTTTATCTGCCTGAAAGGCGCAACGTAGAGTTGTTAAAGAGTATAATAAAATACGTATTATACTCTTTACACTTATATATAAAGGGTACGATAAAAATAATCGCAAAGGCTAGCACTGATTGAGCACTTCCCATGTGGCAAGACTCCAGGAATCGACTTATTTCATTCCACAGCAACTCCATGAGACAGGCTGTATTATTTATCATCCCTGTTTTACAGACAAGGAAACTGAGGCACAGAATGATGAAGTCACTTGCCAGGTTCCTGAAGCAAGCAGGTGGCAACTGGGATTTGAACCCTGGCCACCTGGAGTCAGAGCGTAGGCTCTTAGATGCCCCTCAATAGGGACCCAGGCGAGTGAGTGGCTTACCCACATTCCCACAGCTGGAAGTGATAGAGCCGGGATTAGAACCTACATCTATCTGAATCCCGAGCCCAGGCACTTAGCCTAAAGCCACACAGCCTCAAAGAGGCGACAATGTGAACGTGTGTGGTGTTTGCAGGCAAGGAAGTGTATGAGGTCCAGGCCTGCTCCACCACACTTCATCAGGGTGATTTCAGGCAAGTGCTCCCTTAGCTCTGGGCCTCAGTTTCCCCACCTGAGCAATGGGGATAACAGGTGTGCCTACCTCTCAGGGCTGCTATGAGGTCACACCTGGCTCTCAATAAGTGGGCACTGCTGTATCTCCTGGTGAGTTAGGGGCATCCCACTGTCATATGGGACAGGACCCTGTGTCACCATCTGAGAGCCCCAGATCAGGGAACCCTCCCCCAGCAAACAAGGTGAGAGAGGCCTGAGCCCCATCCCCAGTCTCAGCCCCTGGTGTCTCCACCCAGGACCCTCCAGAGGACATGAAGCAGGACCAGGACATCCAGGTGAGTTGGTGGCTAGGGGGAGGCCAGGGTGTGGGAGGGGGGAGGAGGACATGCCTTGGGGGAGAGGGGGACATCCATAGTGGCAGGAGGAGGAGGCATCTGTAGGGAGAGGAGGGCTGACATATGTTTCTGTTGGTGGAGGAGGGGTGACACCCCTCTTCTCCCCACCCACTGCATTCCGCAGGCAGTGGCGACCTCCCTCCTGCCGCTGACGGAAGCCAACCTACGCATGTTCCAGCGTGCCCAGGACGACCTTATCCCTGCCGTTGACCGGCAGTTCGCCTGCTCCTCTTGTGACCATGTCTGGTGGCGCCGTGTGCCCCAGCGGAAGGAGGTGATAACCCAAAACTTGACCTCGATTCTATCCTGAACTCCACTCTTGATCCCCTCCCTCAGTGGCTGTACCTCTGACCTAAGGACATCAACCCCTGAGAGCCTAACCCCTGACCTCCAACCTCATAGCTCAACCTCCATCTCCAATCCCAACCCCCAATCCAGAGCTGGACTTCAGACCTTCAACTTAAGAAGCCCAACCCCTTCCCCTAGAGCCTGATTCAACAGTTCGACAGCTGCCATGGAAATCAAACCTGACCCCCAAGCCCCCAAATCTGGCTTCTGAACCCCCTGACCAGTAGTGTGCTTCTGGCAAATGCTCACCTAGCTCTTGCAAGGGAGGAGAGGGAGCACAGATTTGTAGTGTTTGCCAATTTCCATGGTGTAAATATTCCCACCCTGGTCAATATCAGGCTACCACTGTGAAGTCAGTGAAAATGGAGTTGGGCAGCTGCTGCAGCACACAGCTAGCCATGACCCCAACCCCAGACACCTCTGACAACCTCTGTCCCCTCCCCATACCCCCAGGTATCCCGGTGCCGGAAATGCCGGAAGCGCTACGAGCCGGTGCCAGCCGACAAGATGTGGGGTCTGGCTGAGTTCCACTGCCCGAAGTGTCGGCACAACTTCCGGTGAGGGCGCTGACCCCCACCCCTTGTCCCACCCCAGCCCTGCCCCTCCCTGCCCTGGCCCCACCCCGGCCCAGCCTCGCCCTCAGCCCCTCACAGCCCTGCCCGCCCCCAGGGGCTGGGCACAGATGGGGTCCCCGTCCCCCTGCTACGGGTGCGGCTTCCCCGTGTATCCAACACGGATACTGCCCCCGCGCTGGGACCGGGACACGGATCGCCGCAGCACCCACACCCACTCCTGCTCAGCAGCAGACTGCTACAACCGCAGAGGTGAGGCCCCCACCAGGTGTCATCCCAGTGCATCCCCATAGCCTCCCCCGACCCTGAGTAGTCTGCATCTACCTATGGCCTCAAGTACCAAGGTCTCTGTCCCCTTCCCCATGCTCCTTGAAGCCTCAGTGTCTGTGGCCACTTCATATCCCATGGTAGCCCTTCCTTCCACATGTCTTCCATGGCTCCCAGTCTCCTTGGCCTCTGAGGTCTTGACCACGAGGTTCTGAGGTTTCACCCCAGTGGCTCCGTGTTCCAGGATCCCCATGGCCTCTGCCTCTGTAGTCTCTGTGTTTTGTCCCCTGTAGTCTCGGGTGACCCTCATTTCCCTAGGTCTCCTGTAGCTTCAACACCTCTGAATTCCCTGTAGCTCTGGCCCCCAGAGCCCACGTGGCTTCAGCCCCCTCGTCCCCAGAGTCTGAGGGGAACTCTAGCCCCATGACCTCAGCACTTCTCCCTCCCCAGAGCCCCATGTGCCTGGGACATCCTGCGCACACCCCAAGAGCCGGAAGCAGAACCACCTGCCCAAAGTCCTCCATCCCAGCAACCCCCACATCAGCAGTGGCTCCACGGTGGCCACTTGCCTGAGCCAGGGCGGCCTCCTGGAAGAACTGGACAACCTCATCCTGGAGGACCTGAAGGAGGAGGAGGAGGAGGAGGAGGAGGAGGAGGAGGAAGAGGAGGGCGGGCACAGGGAGTGACCCCTGCCAGGTGCACATACAAACCAGACACGGTCTGTGGCTACTTTGTGTTGTTATAAAATAAGAGCTCAAACCAAGATATAAATGCCCTTGGGGAGCCATCTGGGTCGGAGATATTGGCTGGGGGTGGGGGTGAGATTCCTGGGTCCCATTTTCGGGGCCCTGGGGAGCAGATCGACAGTGGGAAGGTCTGCGGGACATGAGCCATCAAGGAGGTGTGGCCAGGACAACTTGGGCTCCAGGTGAAAAGCATGCTCTGGAGCCTGGGGGACAGATGGACAGATAGTCACAGCCTCAGGGGCCGGATCAACATAGCAGCCTTCTTGAGAGAGTAGGCCCCACCACGAAACTCAGCCCAGTAGACACCATCTTGGTAGCGGCTGCGGTAGTGGCCACCACGGTGCCATATGCCATTGAGGTTGGAGTGGGCACAGGCATGGTACCACCAGCCTCCCCGCTGGTACAGGGCGCAGTTACCTGATGGGAGAGAGAGTCCATGTCTTCTCACCAGAATAAAAGGCTCTGCTAGCACCTCACAGTGCAAGGCTTTTGCAAGGCATCCCCTGAGTCTCCCCATTCTCATTGAATACAAGCCGTGATCCTCCATTTCCTCACCAAAATAGAAGCCCTGGCCTCTCACTTTCTTCTTTGGAGTAATACCCTTAATTCCTTCCCTATCTCCTTGCCAAAGTACAAGTAAAACCCTTCTCACCCTTTCTGAAAACTGGGAGTCTGCTGCTCATTATTTCATCCAGGAAAAAAAAAATCTCAATTTCCTTTCCAGAGTAAGAGTCCTGGCTCACCAGAACAGGAGTCCTAACTTTTATTGCCTCATCAGAGGAAGAATCTGGGCTCCCCATCCCCTCACCAGAATAAAAGTGCGGTCCCTTGTTCTCTTGCCAGAATAGAGACTTGCTTTACCAGAGGGGAGTCTTACCCCACCTTCTTTCATTCCCTCACCAGGACAGGGATTCCACCCCTACCCTCCCACCAGAATAAGAGCTCTCCTCACCAGAATAAGAGTCTCGGTCCCTGTCCACGGTGCTGAAGGGTTTGTCATTGTGCCAGGAAAGGGAATCTCCTGCATCACCATGGTACTGGCCAAGCCGCAGGCGGTAGTGGTCGCTCTCAGGCTCCAGGGAGAAGCCATCATAGCGGGCACGTGCCCCACGGCCTCCCCAATCCTCCAGGAGCACCAGCAGCTCATGGTCCCCACGGCTGGTCAGCTGATGCACAGGTTCAAGGCCCAGCCAGTATTCCCCATCAGGCTCTCCAAAGCCCACCTGGCAGGGCAGAAAAGTCAGAAGGTCAGAAATAGGCTCAGTTCCTTGACCAACTCTGCTTCTGCCCAGCCACAGCCACCTTGTAGTGCTGCCAGGTGGTGAAGAAGTTGACAGAGCCATCTCGCCGCCGCTGGATCACAGTCCAGCCTCCACCTTCCAGCTGCTGCTCACACCATGCTGACACCACATGCCGGCCCAGCTGCAGCTCATACACTCCACTCTGCTCATGGCCTGCCTGGTGGGCCTCTGCACAGTCCTGCCATGGGCCTGTGGGCGCAAAGATATGGGGGAGGCACAACGTAGGCCAACCAGTCCCTTACCAGAGTAAAAGTCCTGATTCTTGCCAGTCCCCTCACCAGAATAAAAGTCCTATCTCTCCCATTCCCTCACCAGAATAAGAGCCATGATACCCAATTTCTTACCTCACGAAGACTAGGTCCTTCTTCAAACACCAGAGCAAATGTCGAGTCTGGGTTCTTAAACCCTCGTTCTATGGTCTCCTTACCAGAATATAAGTCCTGAACATGGCATTCTGAACTAGCTCAAATTCTCAACAAAGTAGCAGTCCTAAATTCTTCATCCCCTCATCAGAATAAGAGTAACTTCTCTCCTTTTTTCATACCATAGTAAGAAGATTGGTCTTTTTTTTATTATTATCAGAATAAGAGCCATATCTACCTGTTCCATTATCAGAATAAGAACATCATTTCCTCCAGTCCTCTCACCATGAGTGGGATCGGCCATTAAAATTCTGACTCCTGTATTTCCCTCTACCCACATTGCACTGGGAATCCTTGGCTTCTCACTTCCCCAGCAGCCCTGCGTGCATCTTACCTGCTGGCTTGGTGGGGACAGCAGGGTGCCCTGCAGGCATGGGAGAGGCCAAGGGTCCCTGCTGTCTCAGGATCTGGTCTCTCTGGGGTTCTGGGGATGGGTCCAGCCTCCTGCTGGTGTCATTGGTGCCACCTACCAGACTGACTGGAACCACAGGTACCAGGGGAGGTGGTAGGACCTGGAGTGACCAAGAAAGTCAGAGGTAATTATACTAACCCTCAGCTCAAGAGGTCCGGTCTCCTCAGGGGCCAGGGATGGTGGGTAAATCTCCCTGCTCCCAGATGAGCTGGGGGTCAGGAAGGGGGTGTCCTGGTCCCAGGACTCATCTCCAAAGCCTAATTCTTGCCTTTCAAGTGCAGACGGAGCTGGGCTTAAATATCTGCTCTGGAGCTCCTTTTCTGTACTTTTCAGCCTCCTACCTGTCTCCTTTTCTGTACTTACTGAATCCTCCCACCAATCCTGTAAGGTAGCAACAATGTCATCCGAAACTCTGGGCCAGACATGTTCCAGAACTCAGAAATAACACGGCGGGATCGAGACAGTGATACAGGGAGTGTTATGTACTTTACATAACGGCCCCAATGGGGGTCTCTGGTCTCTATCTACGTGATAATAAAATGCTTAATTAGGGGCTGGCCGGTTAACCCAGTTGGCAGAACGTGGCGGTGTGCTGACAACACCCGAGGTCAAGGGTTCAAATCCCCATACCGGCCAGCCACCAAAACTATGATAATAATAATTATATGCTTAATTCCAGGACTCTGTGAATATTCACATAAAGTGGATAAGTAAAGACCATACATAGCCACCAGTCACGTTTTGACCTAAATAAGTTATGACAGTGGGCGGGCAGGAATCCGATTTTCGGGGGTTTTTGAATTTCGGAACTGCAGATAAAGAGATCGTGGGTTTGCACGAGGCCCATTTTGCAGCCGATGCAGCAAGTGGCTGCCATCCAGGGAGGCTCCGAAGTTACCTGCTGCTGCCCGCCCGCGCCCCCCGGGCACAGGCGCTCCAGGCGGGCGATGAGGCCGCTCTGCTGGCTGACCAGCTGCGCCAGCTCGCGGAACTTGACGTCCAGCTGGTGGAAGCGGGCGGCCGCGCGCTGCGCCTCGGCAGACGCGTTGAGCACGCGCTCCCCGAGCAGCGCAGGGGCGGCGGCAGGCTCAGCCCCCGG